CTGGGGGCGGTGGTGGTGAATACTTGTAGTCCCAGCTACTAGGGAGGTTGAGGTGGGAGGATGGCTTGAGCCTAGGAGGTCAAGGCTGCAGTGAACTGTGATTGTAATTCTGTACTCCAGCCTGAGTGATAGAGTGAGACCCTGTCTCAAATACAAAACAAAACAAAAACCAGTGTGGTACCAGCATAAAGACTAACACATAGACCAGTGGAATAGAACAGAAATAAATGCTTGCATATATGTAAAATGATTCTCAACAAGGATGCCAAGACTGTTCAGTGGAGAAAGGACAGTCTTCTCAATAAACTGTGTTGGGAAAACTAGATATCCACTTGCAACAGAATGAAGTTAGGCCCTTACCTTATACTATACACAAAAATGAACTCAAAGTAGATTAAAGACCTTACTAAACACAAGAGCTCTTATTAAACATAAGAGCTAAAACTATGAAACTCTTAAAGGGAAACATAGGAAAAAAGTTTCATAACATTGTGTTTGGCAGTGATTTCTTGTATATAACACCAAAAGCACAGACAACAAAATAAGAAATGAATAAAATTGGATTTCACCAAAAGTTAAAAACTTTGTGCATCAAAGGACACTACCAACAGAATGAAAAGGCAAGCCACAAAATGGGAGAAAGTATTTGTAAGTCATACATCAGATAAGGAATTAATATCCAGAATATATAAAGAATTCTTATAACTAAACAACAGAAAAGACAAACATTCCAATTAAAAATGGACAAAAGACTTGAATAATAGACATTTCTCCAGAGAAGATATACAGATGGCCAATAAGCACATGAAAAGATGTTCAACATCACCAATCACTAGTGAACTGCAGCTCAAAAGCACAGTGAAATACCACTGCACACCCAGTAGGAAGACTGTGATCAAAACAAAACAAATCACCAGAAAATAGAAAGCATTGGCCAGGATGTGGAGAAACTGGAATCCTTATGCACTACCAGTGGGAATGGAAAATAGTGCAGTCATTATGCAAAAGAGTATGGGGGTTCCTCAAAAAATAAAAAATTAAATTATCATATGATCCAGCAATGTCACTTACAGGCATATACACCAAAGAATTGAAAGCAGGACTCAGAGTATTTGTACATTCATGTTCATAGCAGCATTAGTCATAATAACCCAGTGGTGGAAGCAACCCAAAAGGCCATTAATGAATGAATGGATAAACAATATGTGTATATGCATACAATGGAATATTAATTAGCCTTAAACAGAAAGGAAATTCTGACTACAATATGAATGAACCATGAGGACATGCTAAGTGAAATAAAGCAGACACAGAAAAACATAATTCCACTTATATGAGATACCTAGCATAAACTCACAGAAACAGAAAATAGAATAGTAGCTGCCAGGGTCTGGGAGGAGGGGAGAATAGGCAGCTATTGTTTAATGGGTACGCAGTTTCAGTTTGGGAAGATGAAAAAAGATCTGGAGATACCTGATGGCAGTAGATGAACAACAACGTGAATGCAGTTAATGCCACTGAACTGTACACTTAAAAACGACTAACACGGTGAATTTATCTTTGTGTGTGTGCTATGTATATTTTACTACAATAAAAAAATGTTAGCTGCAAAAGTGTTTTGGGGAGATATGACAGTTGCAGGAAAATGGCAGAGCTGTAAAAATGCTTTAAAATACTGCACATTTAAGCTTAGGAGAGGCATAGTGGCTCACACTTATAATCCCAGCCTTTTGGGAGGCTGAGGCAGGAGGATTGTTTGAGCCCAGAAGTTCAAGACCAGCCATGGCAACAAGGCAAGAATCTGTCTCTAAAAAAATTTAAAAAAAATATTAGCCGGTCATGGTGGTGCGTGCCTATAGTCCCAGCTACTTGGGGTGCTGAGGCAGGAGGATTACTTGAGCCCAGGAGTTTGAAGTGGCAGTAAGCCATGAAGGCATCAATCTCCAGCCTGGATAACACAGTGAGACCCTGTCTCAAAAATAAATTAAAATAAAGGAAACCTAGGAGAAAATGAGATATTGCAGAATTTCTCACTTTTGGCAAAATTCACAAAATTGAATGCCATTTGGAATATTTTGTGCCAATACTCCATGGCTGATTGATTCAAAATTTAGATACACATGGATTTAGCCAATTATCCGTTATAAATTTGGAACTCAAGTTTTACATTCATGCTTTGCCTGGAAGCAATGTAGCCAGGCCTGAAAAAATTTTGTAACTGTCAGCAAGCAAATAAAAATTTGTTATTCAACAATAAGGACCTGTTTTTCTTCCCTTCTCTATTCTGCAAAGTGTTAAAAGTCCTAGACCAGAAGCAGTTTCCCGATCACAAAAGAAATAAGTAATTTGTAGCAGGTGGTTCTAATTGAGCCCATCAAACCTGTCATTCCATTGTGCAGAAGAGTGGAAAATCAATTAGCAACTACAAGCTTGGGTACTGAACAGTGACAGGAGTGTCTTAACTCAAACAGGAAATCAGTAATGGAAGAAAATGATTACCATGGCCACTAGTGGACACTGCTGGATCTGAGAGACTTTCAGTCTACTGCTCAACCTTCTCAGACAAAAGGCACTGTTGGAGAAAATTCCAATGTGTACTGTCAGCCAAAAGCAGTACAGTGTATACCCTTCCTTGTTTCTTCCCTGATGGGGTCTGAATGATTAAAAATCAAGAGCACTGGCTCTTCAACTCATGAGTCCTGTGTGGGAGTTACTGCTTTGAATGTAAACATGTTTTGGGGGTAGCATTAGTGTATGTTAACTGACTTGGACAGATGCCACATCCCTGCTCACGTGTACTCCCTCAGGGCTTGGTTGATGACAGGCCTAGGAGGCCAAACTGGGATAAAAACAAACTTCCCAATGCCACAATTCTGCTTTAGAGTTGGAGCAGCTTCTGGCTATTCAGTTGCCAGCTACTGAATACAGTTTACCAGAGGAAACATTTAAAGTATTCACAACATAGTCTTGTATCCAGTTTTGGGGAAAATAAAATAGATTTTTTCCCAGATACTTTCTATCATTTGTATGAGGTCCCCAAAGGGCTCATAGAATATGAAGCATTTGTTCTAACACATTTCTGCCTTAGCCTGGGTCACTTTGGCGCTGTGGGTTATCTGTAATGTCACTGTGAGCTTATCCATTTATTGTGTTATTCTACCTTCTTTACTTATTTCCTGGGTCTGTGTTCTATCTCTTCAGCTGCTGGTTTTCAGAAACCACTGGACAATGATACCATACCTCTTATTTCTTGTGTATAGCATGTCAGAGTTTAGTATAAGGCCTCTCATAAAATAGGTATTCAATAAATAATTTTCTAATCAACTCTTGGCTATTAATTTTTTATGTGGCCAGATAACATATGAAAAGTAATTAACACAGTGCCAGGTATGTAACAGGCACTCAATGAACATTAAACAAAAAACGAAAAGAGACTAAGATATAAAAAAAAGCAGGTGAAACAATTAGACTTATTTATTTATTTATTTTTTTGGTAAAAAACATAATTAAATTTTAATGAACCAAAGAGCATACAGCTTCATTGGTCAGGCTCCTGAAAAGTTTAATTTTGACTCACTGATTGAGGGACTTCCAACCCAAGGTGCTCTTGGAACCTTTTGGGTGAGTTAATAAATTGATAAAGGCTTTCTTCTGCCTGTTAGCTAAAGCTGGGAGGAGAAAGGTAGAACTAAAAACAAATGCTGAGATACATTAAAGGTATCGCTATATTCTGACAAGAGGGTCTCCTGAAGCAAAATTTTTGCCAGGTGATTTAGTTTGCCAAATGCTATCAATCCATTCGTGAGTGAGTGAGTGAGTGAGTGAGTGTGTGTGTGTGTGTGTGTGTGTGTGTGTGTGTGTGGTGTATTCTTGTGCATTGCTTGGAATAAAAGCTGGGAAAGAAGTCAAGGAAGTAAGAGGGTAAGAGGAGGAAGGACATACTGGCAGCTTTGGATGTTGACTTCTGACGTGGGAAGAGCAGAGAAATCATACAGGAATTCCTCTACAAATTAGACTTACATGGGAAGGATCTCTAGGTAAAACCAGTTGTCCTATTTGCTGATATTCAGTGAATATTTTTAAAGGCAATGGTCCAGGCAAACAACTAAATGATTTGCTTTGCAGGTGTACTTTCCTGTGGCACCCACTCGAGTTCTACCCTGCTTCTGTCTTCCCCAGGAAGAGTTGGTCTCCCAGGTGTCCCAGCCCTCATTGCCTTCCTGGCATTGACAGTGATATGAGATCATCCTCACTGTTGGTACTTTTATTCCCTACAAATATTATGCATCGGTAGCATGCTGCAGATTGTATGGATTGTAAAAAGGGCACAGTCTCTGTGCCAGCATCAGGAAGATATATGTGCACAGAGAAGTCTCAATCTAAATTAAACAGACAAAGTGCTGGTGAGGCATTTGAATATCCTCCACATTTTATTGTTTCTTTTCTGCTAAAAAAGATCCCATACAACTCACATACATTACATTTTAAAAAGACGTTAAATAATGTGTTTCAGCTGGGCATGGTGGCTCATATCTGTAATCCCTGCAATTTGGGAGGCTGAGGCAGGTGGATCACTTGAGGTCAGGAGTTTGAGACCAGCCTGGCCAACATAGTGAAACCCCATCTCTACTAAAATACAAATATTAGCAGGGTGTGGTGGCAGGTGCCTGTAATCCCAGCTACTCGGGAAGCTGGGGGAGAAGAATTGCTTGAACCCAGGAGGTGGATAAAATCTAAAAACAGCTGAATATATTAGAAAAGCTGGATAATTAAAAAATCTTTACAGAAAGTAAAATTCACCTTAAATTTTATTATTTATTACTCAAAATCAATTCTGGAATAACAGTATAATTTAAATTAATCTCATTTAAATAATTTAATACTTTGATGTATAGCATGATTTAGATTTTGACAAGTTATGATTGTAGCTAGATTTTATCATTCCAAGAGCCCTCACATCAAAGCAGTCTTGTTTCTGTTTAAAAAAATGTTTAATTTACCTGTTTGTAATGGTTACAAGTGCAGGAGGACAGTAATAACCACTGGAAGCTTGGTCAAAGCTTCGAAGGACTGTGTCAATTTTATAACAGAATCCACCATGTCTCTCCCATCCCTTAAAAACATAAAAGGGAAATTAAGGGCACATTCTGATTTAGTTAAATACCAAGAAATCTTCTTGCATACTCTTTTACCACCTACATAACTTTCTCCTCTTACTCATTTAAAACTCCTTGAATTTTTGTCTTGATATTTTTATATTTATTCTATCTGGTAATGCCATTAACTATAGCCTTTTCCACATTTATTTATTATCTTAAAATCTAAACTTTTAAATTAACTTAAAACCTTAAAACATAAAACCTTAAAAGCCAATGAAAATAAAAAGGCAGTCATTCAAGATCTCTCTCTCTCTCTCTCTCTCTCTCTCTCTCTCTCTGTGTGTGTGTGTGTGTGTGTGTGTGTGTGTGTGTGTGTGCGTGTGTAAGTCTCTCTCTCTGGCTTACAGAATTTCATATAAATGGCCCTGACAGGAGGGTAGAAATTAAGTATTGGCTCTGGAGTCAGAATGCATGGATTTGAATTCTGGCTCCACTACTGTGCAACCTTATTTAATATCTTAGTTTTTTCATCTATACAATTTGAGGATAATAGTAGTATTTATGGGGCTGTTCTGAGAATCAGAGAAGGACAACACAGACAGAGATTTTAGAATTGAATAGAGGGCAAAGAGAACATGAACAAAGAGAATAGATGTATCTAGATAATATTATAGATTTTTTTCAACTTTCATACTGATTATTTCATGTTATCCCACTGAGATTCATTGAGATTAGGGACTTGGATAAAGTCAAACGAGTGGATCAGCTGGGCCTGAAACCCAATTCTGGCACAGTCCAGGATGGTCTTGGTTGGAGCATAATGCTTCCAAATACAGAATGGCCAATATTTGTGTTTTTTCCTTTTCTCTTTGGTGGAGATTATTCCTAAATTAACTGGCTGGCCTTTTAGAGAGGAAGAACGTAAGCTTTGGCACTCAGACAAAAATGACAAACATGTAGATCTATGTCTTAGCCCTGGGAAAATGAAGGGTGGCGCTATTCTTTGAAATCATGCAGTACAGTCTGTGGCCATACCACTCTGAACATGCCCAATCTCATCTGAAATCATACAGTACAGAAGACATACATTCATTAGTCTTCTATATTTAAACTGAGCTATTTTAGTTCTTTTTTCCCAATGTTACTAAATCACATCATTTATATCTATTTTAATTTATTCACCAGTTTTAAAACACTTTTTATTTTATGCCATGCCAATATTTGCCAGCTTTTGATTAGTTATAAAATGATTTCTCATAAATTTCTTGGAAAAGATTTAGGTCTTGCAGTAAATTAAGGAAAATCTTAATTTAGAAATCACCTATGTTAGTTCAAACATATCATTAACTGAGGTGTGAAGCACAGGAGCTCCCACATCCAGCCATCTAGGACCTGCTCTGAACTCACTTCCTTTCACTTCTACTCCCAGTCTTCTCTCTGTGAGTAACTGACAGCTCCATACAGCTCCTTCATGAATCTCTCCAGGGTATGAGCAGGGATATTAGACTGCTCCTATACTTGGAAGGACAGAGAGAGGGAGGCTGGCAACTTGACTTTTCTGACAATGTATTTCTTCTTCATTAGTAGTTTTTAGATCATAGCCTGCCTAGCAAAACAAATTTAAAAAATCCAATAACCGAACAGGCTCAAGAAAAGGGAGGGAAAAAAAGATGCAGCATAGAATAATTAGAAAAACAGACTTGTTACTTCAAGGCTTTGTCCACACAATGAATGTGGGAAGGATAATTGATTATATCAGTTAACTCTTTGTATGCTAGGTGCCATTTCATTTTTAAATGAAAGGATGGTGGTGACAAAACTGAAGGAATTGCTCATATTGTCCAATCCCCAAAAAAGTGACTCAGAAGGAAAAACAAATCACTTTTTTTTTTTGTTTTGAAATTATCGAGATCGAATTTACAAAATGATTTTTTCAGTGCAGGCTGTTTAGAGAATTGCATTGAAGCAACTTTCTAAAAAACAGAAAACTTTCAAAACCATATTCATAGACCGATGCATAATAAAATTAATGGAAATTTCCTCACAAAGCTGGAGAACTGGCTATGAACTCAGAAACTAAATACTGGTAATGCTGGCTGGAAAAGGGAAGCAGTGAACAAAAGTTTGAATAGAACATCAGTTCTGTTTCTGCAGTGTAAGAAGTTAATTGTCCTTTCAACTAAAATAAAACACGTTGTTTCCCAAAAAGCCACAGTAAGACAAATCCCCCCACCCTTGCCCCTGCCTCGTCTTCAATATTTCAGATGAGGCAGAGATTAATCAGAGATCAGCTATAACTAATTCAGAAATTGTAATCATTTGCTAAAATGGTGGCATGTCAGCTATGGCACATCTATTATCCAGCTAGAGTATGACGAGCAGTTCACATGTTTACACATTGATTAATGAATAAAATGAAGATTCTAGAGGGATGGGTCATTGTTCAATTGTAACACAAATAATTGGATTAGAAGAGAAAATAATTAAAGCAGAGCTGCATAAAAACCAGGTCTGGAAAACTGTTAAGACTGATACAGCATAGTTTACTCTGAGGCAAAGAAACATAGTTGTTCTCTGACATCTCACTTGAAAGCTAGGAAAACCATAGGTCGGGCATAGTGGCTCAAACCTGTAATCCCAGTATTTTGGGAGGCCCAAGCAGGCAGATAACTTGAGGTCAAGAGTTCGAGACCAGTCTGACCAACATGGCAAAATCTCATCTCTACTAAAAATACAAAAATTAGCTGGGCAGAGTGGTGCATGCCTGTAATCCCAGCTACTTGGGAGGCTGAGGCATGAGAATTGCTAGAGCCTGGGAGGTGGATGTTGCAGTGAGCTGGGATGGTGCCACTGAACTCTCCAGCCTGGGTGATGGAGCAAGACAAGAAAGAAAGAAAAAAAGAAAGAAAGAAAGAAAGAAAGAAAGAAAGAAAGAAAGAAAGAGAAAGAAAGAAGGGAAGGAAGGAAGGAAGGAAGGAAGGAAGGAAGGAAGGGAGGGAGGGAGGGAGGGAGGGAAAGAAAACCAAGTTTGAGGGCATCACACATCACAGGATAGTCACTGTACAGATGGTTTATCAGGATCATTTACATTTTTAATCTCAAAAGAAAAGTAATGCTATGTAGAAGATCAAAAGACAATCAGGACTAAAAAAGAGGAAAGGAAAGAAAGGGAGGAGAGAGAAAAAAAGAGAAAGACAGAGAGAGAGAGAGGGAGAGAGATAGGAGAAAGATGGATAAATTCACTTTAAATTGATGGTGGAATTGATATTCTAGCTATGAAGTCCCTGTGCCTAAATTGCAGTGTTAACAGCACTCACCTCTTGACATCCTGATTCAGCATCAGAGAGGACCTGGCCTGCTTTCTTACAAATATAAAGCAGTGTTTCTTCACAATTTTTGACTTTCCAGTGTCCCTCCTAAGAAGAAAAATGTTACCAGAGAATGAATATACTCTGTGCTGATGCTGATGGGCAATACCAATTCTTAGAAATAAAAATATGATTAATAATGTGCTCCCACATGGGATGATGTTTCAGGCAGCACCCCACTTTGTCATGGAAAGAGTTAACACTTTGTCTAGGGATGGGAGGCCCCTCTCTCCAGCACGAGTTTCAAGATGTGCGATCTGTAACTGAGTAGGCAGGAGAGAGGGTGCAATGAATAATGACCGGTGCTTCTTGATTGCTGCCATGAGCTAGGTTTCATGCAGGGTGATTTTCATATATTATCTCAATGTTCCAGGGAGGTAGGATTATTATTCCCATTTTAAAGGTTAGAGTTAGCATTTGACATGGTCCTAGAGTCAGTAAAGATTGGAGCTAGAATTGATACCAAGGTCAGCCTGGCTTTTCATTAAGCTGTTTTCAATTTTTCCATGAAAAGATGGGATGGAGCCATGATTCTCAATCTTGAGTGTATTCCAGAAGCACCTGGAAGGCTAATTGAAATGTAAATGACTAGCCGCATGACCAGTGTCTCATTCGATAGGTGTGGTGGGGCCTGAGAATTGGCATTTCTAACAAGTTTTCAGGTGATGTTAATGCTGCTGGTCTGGGGGTCACACTGTGGGAACCACTGGGATGAAGCCATCCTCTTGACCAAGTGAGAGTGCTGATGCCCCTCTTCAACCACTTCTAAGTGTTACATTAAATGCTTTGCTGCTTTCACATATATACGTGATGCCGGGGAAATTCCTACAAGCTGCCGTGAAACATCCTATGTAATACTGGCATAACTGAAATTAATGTCAACCTTCAATGATCCTTTCATCAGGAATTCTTCACAGCACCACCCCATTTCCTCTTTATATGCTAGGCAGATACCTTCATGTCTTTCTCTCATCCTATCTAAGGCTTCTTTCAGGTCTTTCATTCATAATGATATAATAACTGCTAACAGATTAAAATTTTATCCTCCCACAAAGCAGAACCTTAGGCTAAAATTACACAATTTAAATTCCAGGTGGTATTTCATGCATCCAGAATTTTAGGGGAATGTGGAGCCCTTCCATGACCCTCAGAAAAATACAACATCCAAGGCTGACTCTTTCATCTGTAAGAGGAGCCCTGCATTGCTCCCCATGGAGTCTTCCAGCAAACTATCCAGTTACAGGATAGTGTCAGGTATACTGCAGTTAAGAACTGTTAGATGAATGGAAGAACAAATGAATTGTTTCCTAGGCTCTCATATTCAAATTTGTGTCAACTGTGATTCCGTAACTTGTTCATTATAATAATGATATTCATACTGAGTTCTACTCCATGTCAATAAATGTTAATTTTTACACATCTACTATTTAAGGAGCTTCTGAGCTGCCAAAACAGGGACCACAAAGTATTACATTACAGCATATCCTGACATATCCAATACCATTAATACCTATCCTCAATCTCTTAAAAAAAAAATCCCCATTCCTGTCAATAAGAAATGATCACCTAAATTATATCAAAACCAATGAACCAATAAATCAGCAGATACTGTAGAACAAATTGTGGTAGGCCAGGCACGGTGGCTCACACCAGCAATCATAACACTTCGGGAGGTTGAGGAAGGTAGAGTCTGGGAGTCTGAGACCAGCATGGGCAACATGAAACCCTATCTCTGCTAAAAATACAAAAATTAACCAGGCATGGTGGTACAGGCCTGTAATCCCAGCTACTTGGGAAGCTGAGACATGAGAATTGCTTGAACCCGGGAGGTGGAGGTTGCAGAGGGCTGAGATCACACCACTGCACTCCAGCCTGGGTGCCAGTGAGACTCTGTCTCAGAAACAAACAAACAAAACACTGTGGTGGATTTCAGCAGAGCTAGACCCAGACAAACGTTTAGAGGTATTATTTCTCCTTCTTCACATGAGGCTGAGAAACACCGCCTTAGCTTGTATAACTGTTACTGCACTGTACAATTGTAATTTGTCTATGCCAGCATTAAAAGATGAAACCATGAAACATGTCACAAAAGTTAAATGCTTAGAAATGCTCCTGTTTGGCTGGCATAATTACTTTGTCAAGCCACGTCAGTAACATTTAATAAATTGCCTCTTGGGGGAACTTGACAGAGTATCCTGGTGGTTAGAAAGAATAAGGATATCTACCAAGTCCTAACAACCTCCTGAAACTCAGCCAGTGCATTCAGCAGCTATCTTGATCAAAGAGATTAAGTCTGTTTTAGACATAATAAACTGTTCAAATGGCTTGGGATTAAACTAATTCTGTATAATCAGGTGCTTTAGATAAATGAGAGACTAGAACATAGGGATGAGTGTCATGTTCAGGCCACTGGGACCACTCCACACACACGAGGAAAAGAGCAAGATTTGCCACTGATCCACAGTTTTCAAAGAGGTTGCACACACTGTTTAAACCCCTTTATGTGAATGAGATAACTGAGCTTAAACACTATCCCTCTCCAGAGTAATCTTCCATCCCTTAGTTCTTCCCTTCTTCTTCATCAAGGCAGTCAATGGCACCACTATCCACCAAAGCCATGGTTGCTCAAACCAAAAGCTGAGTTCTCTCTCGCCCCCACATCTAACTTAGCAACACCTCCTGTTCTCCAAAGCACACTTGGATCTGTCTATTTCTCTTCACAGTCACTACCCTAATTCAACTCCAGAGTAGCCTCCAAACTGGCTTTTCTGCTTCCATTTTATCCCTCTCCTAACCATTTTCTGTGCAGCAGCCACAGTTAATTTTGAAATGTAAATCAGATCATGCCCTTTGTTTCCTTGAAGCACTTTAGTGGTTCCTATACCATGGCCTAGAAACCTGGCATTTTAGAATTTCCGCTGCCCATCTCTTATGAGCTCCTCACCACTGGTCTCCTTTTTGATCATTCAGCAAGACAAGTCTTGGTCTGCCTTTGGGTCTTTGCACTTGCTACCCTATGCATGTTCTGCTTAGAATATTCTCTTCCTTTCTCTTTAAGAGTTTTTCTGAAGTCCAAGCTTAAATGTCATCTTTTCAGAAATGCTTTCTGACTGTCCTGTCCTGCCTTAACCCAGACTTTTCACTATCATGTCACATATTTCCTTGGCGCAATCATTACAACTATAATTGCCATGGTTTTTTTTTCTGCGTGTACTTGTTTACTCCCTAATATGGAAGGCCTATAAGGAGCCGGGACTGTGCCTGTCTTGGTCTCTGTCACAACCCAAGGCTCCAGCACAGGTGGCCTTCAGTACAAGATCAGCAAAGTGAACACTGAACAAATGAATCGACTTACAGACTGCTCTGCTGAGACACACAGCTGGCTTCTATTTGGAAAAATTTTGGGTTCAAGTGTGTGCCAATTAGTAAAGATGACTGAAGAGTCATTAGACCATTCAAAGGAAACTGGAATTTTATTGCTGCTCAAACCAATCCATGTTTCTGATGCATTTTCTGTAAGAGATAAATGTAAATTACTTACGGGATCCTATTATTTGCAAAGGCGATAACACCCTGGAGTTATCAGCAAAATAGACCACTTCACGTGTGATTTCTTCTTTATTCCTTTGTGTGATGAAGCTTGCTTAAGTCTCAGTATAAAATATCTGTTTAAATGTTTTCCCCTCCCTGCTATGGTTTGAATGTTTTTCCCCTTCAAAGTTCCGGTTGAAACTTAATCCCCAGTGTGGCAGTATTGACAGGGGGGCCTTTCAGGGGTGAGTGGGTTGTGAAGGCCCTGCCCTGATGAATGGATTAATGGGTTAATGGATTAACTGGTTGTCATGGGAATGGTACTGGTGGCTTTATAAGACGAGGAAAAGAGACCTGAGATAGCACACTCAGTCCCCTCTCCATGGGATGCCCTGTGCTACCATGGGACTCTGCAGAGAATCTCCTCCAACAAGAAGACCCTCTGCGGATGTGGCCCTTTGACCTTGAACTTCCCAGCCTTGATAACTATAGGAAATAAATTTCTTTTCTTTATAAATTACTCAGTTTCTTTGTATTCTATTATAAGCAATAGAAAATGGACTAACACACTCCCATAATATCCAGATCTGCTTGATATAGGCCTTATAAGTGAGACAGAGTGTGAGCTAAAGCCAACGCAACCACAAAACCTAAGCAAGTTGGCTTCCTGGGGCTCTGGTTTCTGCTACAACCATGTATGTATGTTAGGTAGATCTGAAAAGTCTGGTTTTGCTTCTGCCTAGAGAAAGGAAAAATAGGAAGTCCCACTGGATTATGAAAAAGGCATGAAACAAACAAACTTTTAATGATGGTCTAGCTTAAAGATATGTGGTTTTTTTTTTCCCCAACAGATGTTGTTGAGGATGCACAAAAAGGAACACCTATACACTATTGATAGGAGTGTAAATTAGTACAGCCTTTATGGAAAACAGTATGGAGATTACTCAGAGAACTAAAAATAGAACTATCATTCAATCCAGCAACCTCACTACTGGGTATATACTCAAAGGGATAAAAATCATTATATCAAAAAATAATTTTTGATATAATGATTTTTTTCCCTGTACACATATGTTTATCACAGCATTATTCACAATAGAAAAGATGGAATCATGTAAGTATCCATCAGAGGAGGGTTGGATAAAAAAAAATGGACACACACATACACACTCACACAAACACACTATGGGATATTAGCCATAAAAAAAGAATGAAATCATATCTTTTGCACAAAGGTATGGCACTTGAGGCGATTCTGCTAAGTGAAATAACTCAGAATGTCAAAAACTACATGCTCTCACTTATAAGTGGGAGCTAAACAATGGAGACACATGGATATACAGAGTAGGATAATAAACACTGGAGACTCCAAAAGGTGGTAGGGTGAGATTGAGGGTTAAAAAATTGCCTGTTGAGTACAATGCATGATGGGGTCACTAAAAGGCCAGACTTCACCACTGCAATATATGCATGCAAGAAATAATCACCTCTTAAACCTGGTTTTTAAAGTATGTTTTTTCCTTTTAATTTTTTCTGCCATAGGAAGAAAGGAGCGAAACCTCTTAAAGGCATTGAAATGGGGTTGCTGGAAAAGTAGTTAAAACTTGGCAACCTAGGTAGGAAAGAACCCTATGTAACTCAAAGAGATGTGTAAGTGCCCTTGGTGAGATAAGCAGCCCATAGGGTTCTTTTAATCCCAAATGTGAAGGATTCGGAAAAATAACAGAGAAGGATGCATGTTTTTACTCCAACTAAAAGCTAACAATTGAAAAGGTCATCAAAGTAGATCCTGGTAATCTTTTGTATTTTTAAAAACTGAAAAATGAAATCAGTAATTTCAGTGGTTTTCCAGCAGAAGTTTATGTCAAATGCATGACACAGTGAGAAGCAGATCCACTTTGATGGACTCAGGCTGGATGGAAGCCAGCATCCTGAAACTCCTATACATGGAGTACAGTCTGACCACCTCACCAAATAAATTAGCCATGTTCACTGGCAAAAATTGTTTAAATCCAATTATTTGCCTTAGGGATTCCCTGTATTATGTGGATTACATGCTAACAGCACACTACTGCTGTCTAGTGGCCATAAAGCTAAATTACAGGTTTAGCTTATTCATTAGAAGTTTTAGGAAATAAACTTTCCTACTTTAAAAAAAGTTAAAAATCATCTAATATATGTGGCATATGTGAAGATGTTACAAAGTTCTGAACATGTATTTTGTAAAAATTCAATAAATTTAAATTACTGAATATCATTCAGAAACTTTAAATATATGTGCCATGAATAGCCACTTTTAAATAGCTTAAATTTCTTTTCAACGCTACTAATAAAAGTAGTTCTACATTATATTTTATACCTATTAAACCAAAGGCAGTTAGGACTCACCATCTCCAAGGAGGGTTACAAGAAACTCCACTTCCGCTAATGAGGTTATCTCTATTAATGCACTATTATCAGCCTGGCAAGAATGCAAAGCCTCACGCCAGGTCTTTTCTTCTTTCTGAAGTTTGTAGCAATTACGATTGTAAGGATTCCAGCCAGGCTCACAGTGGGTCGCATAATATTTCCAAGCATCTTTTTCTTTTTAAACCAACAAAAAACAAGGTCATTTTCCACAATTATTTTAACATTACTTATTACAGTTTATGTAAATTGCCATCAGTATGATTACTTTAAAAATGTGAAAAACAGAAATACACAAAATGACGTAAATCATGGAATTCTAGATCTTCAGAGTTGAGAAGGGCCTAATCTATGATCTAGATTTAGATCTAGGATCAAATGAACCTCAGTCTTTCATTTTCCAGATGAGCTAGTGAAGGTACAAAGAAGTAAGGAGAGGAGGGATGGCAGCAAGATGGCCGACAGAGACACCTGTGTCAGAGGCCTTTGAACAACAGCAAATCCATCTTGTTTGGGGGCTGATTAAAATAAGACTGAGACCTACTGAGCAGGATTCCCAGGAAGTAAGGCATTCTAAGTCATAGGATGAGATAGAAAGCACAATACAGGTCACAAAGACCTTGCTGATAAAACAAGCTGCAGTAAAGAAGCCGGCCAAAACTCATCAAAACCAAGATGGTGAGGAAAGTGACCTCTGGTCATCTTCACTGCTTATTACACGATAATTATAATGTATTAGCATGCTAAAAGACACTCCCACCAGTGCCATGACAGTTTACGAGCCATGGCAACATTAGGAAGTTACCCTCTATGCTCTAAAATGGGGAGGAACCCTCAGTTCTGGGACTTGTACGCCCCTTTCCCAAAAAAGTCCCAAAAAAATCTACCCCTGTTTGGCATATAATCGAGAAAGAACTCTAAGTGTAATCAGCTGAGTAGCCCAAGCTGCTTCTCTCTGCCTTTGGAGTAGCCTTTCATTACTCCTTCACCTTCCTAATAAACTTGCTTTTTCCATTTTATGGATTTGCTCCAAGTCATTCTTGGGATCTGGATCAAGACCCCTTTTGGTAGCACCTGGAGCTCGTCCCTGTCACAGGAACAGCCAAAGTCATGAATAATTGACTACATTTTCACGAAGGCAGCTGAAGAAGGGTGCTAGAGCACATTAAGGGAGTAGCAGAAACGACATGGAGCACAGAAACCCTTGCCACCCCCACCACCATCTCCCAAGCCCCCACTGGAAGTAGATTAGAGCCAGGAGGGACTTCTCCCTGTAAGGAAAGGGTGAGCAAGTAGACCCCAGCAGCCTCCAACTCCATCAGACTGGGGACGCCTGCAGTCCTCACAGGCACTAAGCGCAGTTGAAGGGGATGCCTGGAGTCTACAAGACTATGCTTGCCCCAGAGAAAGTTCTGACGCTGTAACCCTGTCTCTCTGTGACCTATGGGGCTACTGCACTGCACCATCTTGAAAAAGGAACCTCTGCTAGAATGTCATGTTCTGCTCCAGTGGTAAGTAGTCACAGCACCCTTCCATCCTTGAGGCTTTGTAACCACTGCACCACTTTTATCTCGTGGCCCACCATTCCCATGCCAAACTACTGTGGGGCCCTCACTCTACCTGGTATGGCCAAGCTGCCACGAGCTGCTCCATCTACCCTTTCTGGTTGTTGCTGTACTGTGCCCCTCAGAGGCTGATCTGGCTCATTACCCTGCCTCCAAAAACATGGTGCCTTGGCTGCCCAGAGCAGTCATGTTCCCAGTGTGTGTGCTGAAGTGGTGCCCTGCCTCCCAAGGAATCCCTACCCTGGCTGCCCAGAACAGTCACATGCCTGGTACCTGAAGTGGCTCCCAAATCCAGGGGAAACAGTGCTTTAGCTGCCCAAAGCAATCATACCCACCAGCACCTAAGCTGAATCAGCACCATCAGGGGAGAATGGATGCCTTGGCTGAGCTGAGCAGCTGTGCTTCCTGGGGCTTAGCTGATGTGTTACCGTGCATCCAAGGGAAATAGCATTGGCAGGGCTGGGACATCCTGCCCTCCACGCCAAACAGCTATAGCACCCTGCTTTCCTGGAACTGGACTAGTCCCACAAAGCCTGAGCTGCTGAGGCACCCTACCTTCCCAGGGAGTGGAGTCATCATTTTGCTTCTCCTTGCCCCCCAGGAAACAAGCCACTCTACATGCTACCACTCCTGGGTCCTTGCTGCTACTGAACCTGATCTTACAGAGACTGAGATACTGCTGTGTCCCACCATTTCAGGGTCTGGAGTCACCAATGCCTGATGCTTCATCCCCTAGAGCTTGAGTTGCCACTGTGCCACACTGGTTCTGGTTCCAAAATTACAGCCCTGCTCTGTCCCTGGAGCCAAACCTCCAGAGTACCCCTTCTTCCTTAGAGGTAAATATATAGTCAGGTTCAGAATACTCAAATACTGTAATGGTGGTCTGTAAATGATTTATATCTCTAGTTTGAAGACTAAAGTCAAAATTGTCAAAAATAGGTTGGGCACAGTGGCTCATGGCTGTAATCCCAGCACTTTGGGAGCTGAGGTAAGAGGATTACTTGAACCCAGGAGGTCGAGCTATGATCACGCCACCATATTCCAGCCTTGGTAACAGAGCAAGACCCTGTCTCTAAAACATAAATAAATAAGGAAATAAATAAATAACCAAAATTGTAAAACATAACTATAGCTGCAATAAATTAAGAAATACACAATATTAAAAGATGTAGCTTGTGCAATCAAAATTTTAACCATTGTGGGTAGGGTAAAAATCTAGAGTGATTGTATGCAACTAAAGTTAAGCTGTTAGTAGTGTAAAATAGTCCATTATAAGATGTTTTATGTAAGCCATATGATAACCACAAAGCAAACAAAAAACCACAAAACAAACAACAAAACAAAACTATAGTAGATAACTGATAAAGAGAAAGGAATTAAAATTTGGTACAAACACCAAATCACAAAGGTAAACAATAAGAGAGGAAGAAAAAAAATCTATAAAACAACCAGAAAACGATGAACAAAATGGCAGTAGTAAGTCCTTACCTATGAATAATTACTTTGAATGCAAATTGATTAAATTATCTAATCCAAACACAGAATAGTTGAATGGATAAAAGGTTACTAGGGGTCAATGAGGGAAAATGAGCAGGGGTAGGAAAAAGGATACAAATAGCAGCTATGGAGGAAGGACAAGTCTGAAAGTCTACTGTACAGCATGAGGTTTATAGTTAATGTGGTGTATTCAGGATTTTTGCTAAACGAGGAGAATATAGTTGCTCTTGTCACATTGGGGGAAATGGGTAACTAAGTGAGATGATGGATGTGTTAATTTGTTTCACTATAATAACCATTGTACTATATATATGTATCCTATGACATCATGTTGTATACTTTAAATACACACAGCAACTTTTGTGCTAAAAAATAGTAAAAAAGTAAAGCAAAAACAACAACAAAATCAAAGAAGTAAAGAGTCTTGACAAAGGACATACAATGAAAGCAGAGTGTTGGGGCTAGGTATAAAATTTAACAGAGCTGTTCATTTTTGAAACCTTTTTACATTTAGAAGCATTATGGAAAACTATTTAAAGTATTCCAAGGATTTTATACATAGTGTATGAGTAAGGTAGATATTTATCCCCAGCTGAAAAGAGCCTAAAACTCTGATGACTTCCTCTAAAATGGGGATGACAAATAGGTTTCACTTTGAAGATAAGTCTGAGTGTCTGTGGCATTGCTCTGGACTGATAGGGACTCTGGGTGGGACTTACAGGAACTCAGTGCCATGATGCTTTGGACATTGGAGGCCAGTGGTGATGCATATAGCTGCATTTTGACTTTCCTTTCTCAGGAGTTTGCCCCCAGTCTGATGATGGCATTTTTACCTTATTTTATTAACCACAACTAGGTGCCTCCATTAAGAACTAATTTAGTTAAACTAAATATGATTTCACTGCTATTTGGGAAACAAAACTTTCTTTTAAAATTGTTTCTAGGACTCCGACAGCAAATTAGAATCATGGCCAAAGAATGTTAGAACTTTATATATTATTGACTCCAGAGGTTTTCAGCCTAAAAAAACACTCACAGAATCATTTTTAAACATGGAATTTTAAGCTGGGCGTGGTGGCTCATGCCTGCAATCCAGCACTTTGGGAGGCCCAGGTGGGCGGATCACCTGAGGTCAGGTGTTCAAGACCAGCCTGGCCAACGTGGTGAAACCCCAACTCTACTAAAAATACAAATATTAGCTGGGCATGGTGGCGGGTGCCTGTAATTCTAACTACTCAGGAGGCTGAGGCATGAGAATCGCTTGAACCTGGGAGGTGGAGGTTGCAGTGAGCCAAGATTGTACCATTGCACTCCAGCCTGGGTGACAATAGCAAGACAAAAACAAAGACAAAAACAATAACACGTGGAATTTTAAAGATGCTCTTCTCTGATTGAAGCAGGGGAAGCACAAAGGTTGAAGCCAGTGGACTCAATCAATCTGCAGAAGAATTTCTTGAACTTGAAGCAACAGCAAATAATCCAAACAAGCTAACTTAACTACTCCCATTTCTGGTCTTCTGATCTCAACTAGCAGATCAGAAGGATAAATATAACAGAATAAAAGAGGGGTGGCAGCAGGGAATGCAAGATGGCATAATAAAGAAAGAAAAAATGATGAGAGAAGGAATGGAGAAAGGAGCATGAAAGAATGAAGAGAGGGAGGGAAAAGGACAGTAACAGGTGGTAGTAATTTCAGCAAACTCCTGAAACAATGGAAAAAAAAACTGCAAGATGATGCTTCTTTCCCCAGCTTGTACCTCCTATTCTATAAAACTCCTAGGCTTAGCTATTTAAAGGAAAATGAAAGTTAAAACCAAATTGTAAGGGACAATATTTAAAAATGATAATTCAGCTTGTTTTAAATCTAGAGTTTTTTTCTAATTATTTTTGTAATGATTCTTTAAAAAATGGTTATACTTTTATCTCTACTTTCCGATTTAAGACATTAATTCTCACAGAAACGATAGACCTTATAGAGGTCATAGACTTTAAAAACAGAAATAATTGGACTTCTGGTACTAGATTGTAATTAGGTATTATTTAAGTATCAACTCCATCTAAAAGTTCTGCATGTGATTTTAAGTATTATTTAAGTATCAGCTCCATCTAAAAGTTCTGCATGTGATTTCAGGGAGGAGATGGTATTACTAATAAGAGATTCAGAGTGTGGCAGAAAATCAATGAAGTAAATAATTCTATAAAATTGTTTTCTAAATTATGTTTAATTTTTAGGGGAACAATAACTAAAACTCAACACTAGAATAGAAAAATAAACATATCTTATTTTTTGGATCCAGAATAACTAATAGTACAATTTTTGTAAAAGACAGGAGGAAAATGTTTGTTATGCTCAGTTTATTTCAGTTTTTAGTAAAAACCTAAATGCATTTGTTAACAAATTCACAGTCCCTTTGGCGTAAATATTTTTTTATGTAAAGATCAACTAGCTTTAGCTAAGTTTACATTATGAACTATTAGCAAAAAATAGAGGAATTTGCATATACTGAGAGGACAAGTAAACAACATCTAACAACTTAAAATAAAAACACTTACCAACTATTTCATGATCAATGTGGTTTAGATATTTTTTACATATGTATGGCAAGGTGGACTCACAATCCCGACTCCTCCAGGCACTTGGCATAAACAAACTAAATGTTCCACAGTGATATTCAACAAATGGCTCAAAATTTACCTCTGAAAATACAATGAGTGTGTTTAATGTTAGAAGCAAACGCATTTAGTTTAATATATATTGAAATGTAGTTTTGGCATCAAGGGGACAGCCCTTCTATTTGTCATATATAGTAGATTCCATAAGATGTTATATCCTATAAGATGTTATCTATGATTTTGCAGGCATGTCAATTAAATGATTTCCCAAAGATTCCAAAAGACCCAATTTTATTATTTTAAAGTAGAGAGATATTTTGGAATTTGTTGCTATTTTTAAAACTGCAGACTGAAATCTTGGCTTGCACTCAAACCTTCCTGCAACTTTGGCTAAAAAGCTTATCTCCTTGGTCTCTATTTTTTTGTTTGGAAAAGCTTGCCTTAAAGGAATTCACTCAGGCTAAAAGATGTTTATAAGTTACTCTCACAAAAGCATGCCCTATGTGCATGGGAAATGGTGCTGTGTAAGGCTGCAGGATGATGCCACATGATGAAGGCAAGGAAAACACCTCGGATACCTGGGCTCCAGTTCAGGTAGTTGAGCGGTGTTCCATCAGACCACTGCCAGCCAGCGTGTTCATCCAGCTGATTGAGACCGATCCACACCTCCACTGCTTTACTGCTCACGTGCTCTGAAATGAAAATTATGGAGCTTCAAAAAAAAAAAAAATCCAGTATTACATGTCTTTCTTGCTCTCCTGTTCCTGAATCATGGAGTCAGAAATTAATGCCAGTCAAGGACAGGAAAGGTGCACAGAATGCATGTGGTGCTTCTGAGTGATAAAGCTGGTTCCCACCATCTTGAGGAACAGAGCAGCTCACTGACTGCTGTTTTTCAACTGTGAATGCTTCATGCAAGTACCTAGAAATGTTGCCTTTCAGTGGCTGTCAATCTAGACAAGGATGCAAGGTTGCATGCTTGAGGCCGTCTTACTTGAGTGAGCTCATGAACTTAAAGGTTTCATAGGGTGGAGGAGCAGGTGTGTAGGGTTGCTCCCAGAAAGTAAACAGAGGCACATCTTCAAAGCTAAAAAGGTGCGCTGAAGGCCAGGCGTGGTGGCTCATGCCTGTAATCCCAGCACTTTGGGAGGCCGAGGGGGGCGGATCACCTGAACTCGGGAGTTCAAGACCAGCCTGGCCAACATGGAGAAACCCCATCTCTACTAAAAAGACAAAAACAATTAGCCGGGCGTGGTGGCCTATGCCTATAATCCCAGCTACCTGGGAGCCGAGATCACGCCATTGCACTCCAGTCTGGACAACAAGAGCAAAAAACTCTGTCTCAAAAAAAAAAAAAAAAAAAAAAAGTGTGCTAAGATAAATAGATCAGCGAGGGGTGTACAGTGTGAGAGCCACCAGGAGTTGTCTGCTCAAGAAGAGGGACCAGAGTGTCTCAGGGGATCCCTATCAGGTCGGGACCTAAGGCTGTGTGCAGTGCAAACTGGAAGCTGCTTACATAGCTTGAGGTGGGAGATTTTATGGCAGGCTAGCTCTGTGGTCCCTGCTCTTAACCAGTCCACTACAACTTGCAGTTTAATGCAATACCATTTTTGTTATGGATACTATGAATAAAAACATGCATTGATGTGCAGAAAAACATAGTTATCAAAGTTATAGAATTACGGAAAATTTTCTTCAGTTTTTCTTTTTGTGCACCTACATTTTAAACATTATTCCAGAACAAATAGGTACTACTTGTGCAGTAAAATTTTGGGGGGGGGGGCAAAAACCAGTGTCAGAAACTTAATGAAAGTGGCAATTTTGTGAAACTTTGAAATGTTGCCATTTACTCATCTAATCTACAAAGGAGAGCATTGTTCTCTTACGATTCACCCGCTTCAGAGCCCAATTTATTTTTAGTCAGATACAGGGGTCCTGCCTGAGATCAAGACCCTGATGGATACGGGTTATAAACAGGGTGACCGTATGCCCCAGTTTTCCTGGAAAACTCATGGTTCATGCTGCTAGTTCCAGAATAATTATTAATCACAGTCCCTTTTACTCTCAAAAGAGTCTCAGTTTGGATGATAGATTGTATGATTGCCCAGGTTGTGAAGGTTATTGTAGTCATATAACAAGGCTGCAGCATCCTCAGTGATGAGACATTTCAATACAATTGTGAAAAACTCAAAGAGCCTAACCCATTTAAAAAAGAGAAAAAGGTGCTTTATAATTTTGAGACTCCCAGAAATCAATAAACAGAAATAGCATGCTATACATGGGTTTCACCCTTCCAAATTTCTGTGGCATTCACATGGAATCTCTTTCTAATGTCCATTTGATTATTCCTTTCAATATCACCATTTGATTAAATCATTTAACAGGTCTTATGATGATAAGAAGTGAAATGGATTGACAAGGCAGGGAGAAATTTTCACATTTTACATCCAGACAAGTGCCAAGTGATATTTTAAAATCAAGTTAAAATATTAAAACATTAATTATTTTAATCTTAAAATTGTTTTGAATGCCAATTGTGCAATCATTTTAATAATAAACATAAAAATCATTGTGCAATTTATAATCTGTGTCTGAAGGCACAAAAAAACCATCTATTTACCTTTAGGACTAAGCTGGTTCACAATACTGTAATAAGAAGCTTGAATTTAAATTCCTTTGGATATTTCTTGGCATTCATGACAGCTTAGATAATTCCTTATACCATAGTATATGTTCACCAGAATTAGCAAGAAACATTAGACTATTTTCATCATTAAAAAATACCTTGGTTGGAACAGGTTTCTGCCTTTATGAATAGACTTCTGTTTTTCCAAACATTTCCCAAAGACTAATTATAGAACTGAGGTAGTTAAATCAAAGTTCCTGACATGTCTTATTTTTAAAATTGTGATTCAAATTTGATGAATAAGTCCAGACTGTCTCATGAGAAATCCTGGCAGTTAAGCTAGATAATTGTAATTCATAAATGGTGTGCAAACTTTTACATAAAAACCATTCCAGGCTTATAATGATTTTGAAAATTGATGTTTTCCTGCACTATGACTTACTCAAATCAAATTCAATAATAATTTCTGACTTCTGCATAGCTATGGGGAAAGGGTGGGCATGCATTGTTCATTTGTTGCTTACAATCCTTCTGGAAGACGTTAATGACTTTCAAAAGCTTGAAAATGTGCTTACTTTTCCATCCAGTGAACCCTCTTCTTCAAACTTATAGAGAAATAAAGGGGGATGTATGCACAAAGATATGTGCAGGGATGTTTTATAATATCAACAAATAAATAACAGAACAAATAGTTTTATAAGTATCTCTAATAAAAGGAGATTCGATCAATATATTACCACGAACCTATACTACTTTGTAACAATTGAAAATTATAATGTAGATCTATATTTATAGATCCAGGCCAATGTTCATTATATGCAGGTAAACAAAATAACTAGATTACTGAATTGTGTACACAGTTGTTGTTAAATGGTTAACACACACTGAGTATTTATTATGTGTGCCAGGCACTTTTCTAAATTTCCCCTATATTAAAATATGTAATCCACACCAAGGATTTGCATTATTATTATTTCCACTTGGTAGGGGGAAATTGAGGCATAGGGTGGTTAAATCAGTTGCTTGAGCAACCGTGGTACTCAAGTAGTAGAGGCAGGATTTAAACCCAGGCAGGTGGCTCCCTGCTCCTCACCACTATGCGATAGCTGCCATGTTTTTATTTAATTTTTTGTTTATGTGTTTTGATATGGAGTCTCATTCTGTTGCCCAGGCTGGAGTGCAATGGTGCAATCTCAGCTCACTGCATCCTCTGCCTCCCAGGTTCAAGTGATTCTCCTGCCTCAGCCTCCTGAGTAGCTGAGACTACGGGTGTGTGCCACCACGTCTGACTAATTTTTGTATTTTTAGTAGAGAGGGGGTTTCACCATGTTGGTCAGGCTAGTCTTAAACTCCTGGCCTCAATTGATCCACCTGCATTGGCCTCCCAAAGTGCTGGGTTTACAGGTGTGAGCCACCGCGCCTGGCTGCTACCACATTTTTATATAATATCATTTTTTATATATACTATATATGTACACATGCATTCATATATTTTTGCAGAGAAACACAGTTATCTCTGGATTATAGAACTATAGGAACTTTTTCATTGGTTTTTCTTTCTATATACCTGAATCTTAAAAATTATTCTAAAATAAACATGTACTATATATGCAATAAAATTGGACAAAAATTGGCATCAAAAACTGTTAATAAAAATGACTAATTTTGTGATATTTTCTAATGTTTCCACAAGTTTTTAAAGAGGTGTATGTACACATATACAAACACATTTAATGTATAAAGGAGAAGTAAGAGGAGAGTTTAGGTGATGAAACATAAGTCTTAGTTTATCAGCACAATTCTTTTAACATATTATTATCTATACTGTTAGTTAACATATATGTGCTTTTGCTTTTTCCATTAAATTTCAAGAGTTTTTTTTGGTACCCACCAGAAGGCCTATGATGTACCTGCACATAGTGAGTGATAGGTAAGATCTTGTTCAATTAATAAAATGCTTAATGATTTATTAATGAAAATGGAATGGCTAAAATCTCCAGAAGAGAAAAACTAGCCCTTAAATTTAGAAATCTTCCTGATCTACTTGTTAGCATTGCAACTTTCCTGGGTCCCTTGCTGTGGCTTCAAATTCTCTTTTCCAAGGGAGAGAAAATAAAAAAGACATCATTGGATGTCAAATGGAATCACTCAACGTTCATGGAAAAATTTTCGTTAGGAGTTTTGGGCCATATTAAGGAAAGAAAAATATTTTTTAAGAACTTTTTTCAGCATATATTTTTGTACATGTGAAAACAGTTAACAACAGCCTTTTTATTGTATCAATATCAATGTGCATCATCCACCTACTTACCCTTTATGAAATTTTCTTCAGTTTCATCTGTAATACTTAATAGTGCACCTCCTTGCATCTGGCATGAAGAATGTGCCTCACTCCAAGAGAGAGATGAAAGCAGGTTGAACTGGTAGCAAATGTGTGAATTGAGGTCCTTCTCCCAAATAGCATCACAACTTACTTCTGCAGAAGCTGGAAACAATGTCCATTAAAAACATCCAAGTCTTATTTTATCTTTACAGCAACATATTTCTAAGAGGAATCTGAATGGAATCATTCCATCTTGCAATCTCTAAAACATCAGTGCCTAATCTATTCTTGATTAGGTCTTTATGATAAAATCTGCATTGTTACTGCTAAGATATGGTCAAACTCTTTCATGATTTACCTAAGGAAATAGAAGAAATCACCAATGAAAAAGTTATGAACCTTTCCAGAATAATAATAGAAACTAGTTTTAAGAGAAGGAGATGGAAGTGAAATATTTGTGAAAAAAAGATCTGGGTTCTTTTGTCATTTGGAACTTTATATTAAAAACTTGTGACTTTAAATGTTCATTTCAGTAGATACAAATGTTATTTCAAAAGGCATTTCTCCCCAAATACAAAATGCTAAAATATAAGGATACAGTATGAGTCAATAGTAAACACAAGTTTTCAAATAAACATCAAGCACAGGAACACTGACATAAGTTCAAGAAAGTTCTTTCAGCCAAGAGGAATAGAAGCAAGATCCACCTGGAAGACATTGGCTGAATGTCTTTAGTGCATAGTATGCTCAAAAGTAAATTTAGTAGGGTACAAAATGTGGAGCTGAAGTCCGAAATTTCTTGAAACAACAGAAAATTAAGACCAAGTTTGGGTGCTTTCGCTAACATTTTAAATCAAACTCTGAGGTGAGCTAAGTAGCCACAATAATGATCAGAAATCAAACTCAGAGAATGTCAGAATGTAGAAAATGTGAACCATACTGCAGCATGACTGAAAATGACTGACAGGCAACCAACGGGCATCTAGGACGGCCTTTCTTAGCGTGTGATTCCCAAAGTAAGACAACTTCAAGAGGCTCCCGAGGAAAATCTGAAACACAATGCATGCACAGCATTCTCTGGGAAATTTACAACGCACAGTAGCATATTCAAGGCTCTGAGAAGTTTTGTAGTAAAGATGTTTAATTTTAATTCAGTGTACTTGAAACTTATTTGACAATAAAATCCTTTTTGTTTGTTTTTTCCTTCTCATAACACTTACTTAGATGTTCCCCTTGGGAAATGTGGAATGTTTATTTTCATGTCTGGTTGCAACACACATTACAGAGGTTTTAAATCACATATAAATCTAAGGTTGTCTGTAGAGTTTCCTGACTGATACATGTGTTTATAGAAGGATCCAAGATTAAAGGAAGGCAGAAGATAAGGCTATCAGCAAGTAAAACTGAAGGAAAGGGGAAAGAAAGAAAGGAAAAAGAGACTGGAAATTTTCAGTACTCATGTTGTCCTGGTGACTGGAATTTCCCCATTGAGATGGAATGCTTAGAGATTGTTTTCAGTTAAAATGCTAGGCTTTCCCTGATGTGGACAACATACTACTGCGTGTTATCAGACACTAGTTTAGCCATACTTATCCACCATGACAGCTGAGACTATGATGGGAGAGTGGGGGTGTGTTCACAGTTTTCGTGTACATAGGAATCACTTAGGCCAGTCACAGTGGCTCATGCCTGTAACCTTAGCACTTTGGGAAGCTGAAGCAGGAGGATCACTTGAAGTGAGGAGTTTGAGACCAGCCTGTTCAACAAAGGAAGACCCTATCGCTACAAAAAGAGAAAGAAAGAGGCCGGGTATGGTGGTTCATGTCTGTAATCCCAGCCCTTTGGGAAGCTGAGGCAGGTGGATCACTTGAACCTAGGAGTTCAAGACCAGCCTGGGCAACATGGTGAATTTTTTTTTTAGTGCTGACATGATGCCATAAATAGAAAATTCCACACTTGACCCCATGTGAAGGGTTTTGGTCAATGCTTTGTTTCATGCACAAAATTATTTAAAATGTTGTGTAAAATTACCTTCAGCCTATGGGTATAATGTGTATACAAAACATAAATGAATTCTGTATTTACACTTGGGTCCTATACCCAATAAATCTCATTATGTATATGCAAATATCCTAAAATCAGAAATCTATAACATTTTGGGGCCCAAGAATTTTGGATGAGGGATACTCAGCCTGTATAAAAATTTGTACTTCCATACAGACAGACAAAAGTCCTTTCTCTGCTTCTCTAGGTGGCCTGCATGTCACTCCATGAATCTCATTTGAAGGCTGTAAGTAATGGAATGAAAATGTTGTCATGGTCACTGCGATGTGCTGCTCTCAGTGTTAAGCCTCCTTTAAGGATTGCGTTGGCAGAAGAGTCTCTGCCCAATGGCACTCTCCCTTCCCAAGGGCAGCTGGCAAACCATGGCGGTCAATGTAGTGATATACTTAGACCCCCATCCCAACAAGGGGCAACTCTGAAGGGTCACCCCAGCTTGACACCTCTGAATAGAGTTGGCCTATGGGCTGTCAGGCCTGCTTCAGAGCCTGTTCTGTGCAATCCTGCTCTCTTCCCTTCCTTTTCACATGAACTGATCCTGAAGGGGCTCCCCCAAAAAACTCCCACATGTTAACCTTTGGCTTGGAGACTGTTCCCCAGGGACCTACCTTCCACAGGCTCCCACATTGACCTGGGCATTTGCACTTATATATAATCTCTTTCTAAGCCACAGAAAATGCAAGATCAAAGGCTGGTGTCTCAGGTATGATTATTATTCTTGAAAAATTCTAATTTAAGGGCTATAATACTATTGCTATATTCTTTACATCTTTGACCGACTTCATATCCTTTCTTCTATTGCTAAATTATGAGCTCCTTCAGGGGAGCAGTTGTGTCATTTATAACTTTGGGGTGATTTTCCCCCTCCTAAGCTACACCTCTCTTTTAATGAACTGAAGAGCATTTGTAGGATGACTTGGGAAGTGTTTCATCCTCTTCTAATTCCCCACTTACTCTCCCATCCACTCAATCTGGCAATTAAGGTATATTTTGTTAAGGTCATCAGTGATCCCTGTGTTTCCAAATTCAGCAAATGTTAGTTTGAGACTTTATCAACAAGGCCCTTCATCAGCACTTGGCAGGCTGAGTTCCCTCTTTGTGCGGATTTACTCTTTTCTGGACTTCCCACGCCTGGTTTCCCTTATGCCTCCCTGGCTGCCCCCTTTCAGTCTCCTTTGCTGATTTATTCTTCTCTGCTCAAATTAAATGTTGGAGGCCTTAAGACTTGGCCCTCAGCCCCATTCCTTTCTCTTCTACACATGCTTTCTACCCACGGCTATCTAACTTGTTTTCATGGGTCCATTTCCTACAACTTCCAAATACATAGAGACCATTACATCTACCTGCCTAGTCCACATCTCCACATAACTGACTCACATGTAACATATGCCAACCTGAATGGTACTTTTCTTTTCCAAATGTATATCTCCATAAACTTAGCTATGCAAGGCAGAAACATGGAGTCTGAATTAATGTCTCACTTTCTCTCCTAGCCTCCAAGTTCTTAGTAGCGAGAAGTCCTACTCCTGGTTAAAAACCTGTATGTGATTCTTAAGGCCTGACCATAGGCAGTTACGAAGGCTTTACTCGGCAGGCCTTATGGGGGAAAGCTGCCCCCACCCAGACTTGGTGCAGAGCTGGCATACTGCAGTTTTTAAAGAGATTCATAGTTGGGCTCAGGCCCCTCAGGCCCAGTGTGCTCTGTGTTATTTGCATTTCTGGTGCAGGTTTCTTCAGTTCCTAGGTCTCTTTCTATGTGAGGCTGTGGGCCAAGGTCCTCTTCAGGTGCTTCTGCTGAGGCTGGGATGGAGTGGGAAAGAGGGGAATCTTGAAGACACTTTCTCCCCACTCTGACTCAGTGCTCAGTACATTTTGTCTCCTAGCTCTTCCCCCCATCTTACCCCAACCCAGAATCTATAAAAGTGAAAGCCTTTGTTGTTGTTGTTTAGGGTTCCCTCAATAGTGAGCTGAACTGAACTCCATGTCTGTGCTGATCCACTGACCCTTGATGGCTGTGCTATTCCTTGGGGAAAAATGGAAGTCGGGGGCGAGGTGGGGAGGTGGCAAATTCTTTTAGACTCTTCCTTATACCATCGTAGTGAGTGATCAACAGCTTAATGCTTTCATTTTTGGCTTGTTGCTAATCAGCTACTCCAACAACTGACAGCTCAGCTGTCTCTAGCCCAGCTAAGCTCCTGACAACTAGGTCCTGTTCAGTGTGTCAACAAATTAGATTTCCAATACATTCACATTTCTCCAAATCCCTGGCTGTCACCTAACTGAAGCCACCACTACTCCTGGACCAGACTATTGCTCCAGCTTTCTACCAAGTTTCCAGGATTTGCATATTGTTGCCTTCCAAGCCATTCAGTATAATGGAGCCAGAGTAATCCTTAAATGTTTTTTTAAAAATTATCATCACTCTTCTGCTTAAATGCCTTTTATGGCTTCCTTTTGCACTTAGAATTAGGTAAGTCCTTACCTTTATGACACTCTGAATTACCTAGCCTGTCTATGAGTTGGGCTCTATCTTTTCAGAGGGTCTTCTCTCTCCTTTAACCACTGTACTCTTGCCACATTGTCTTTCTTAGATGGCAATAAGCTCTTCCCCCCTCAAAACCTTCAGATATTTGGCCAGTGACATGCTGAGGGCTGGGGGTGGAGGAGCAGTCAGCCTGGATGGGTGGGGGTATTTTTATCACTGACATTGTTTAGAATTGTTACAGCATGTGCATGGTGAATCAAAAGCAGACTGTTTTTTACTTGGTTTTATTATTAGTTTTATTTGAACTATATATCCCCTTTATTGTGCACAACCCATGCTGACCACTCCCTCTCCCTTTCCTTTGCACATGGCTGCACCATGCATCTCTGACAAATATCTCATTTCCCCACTCTCCATGTTGACAACTTCTACTCATCTCTTCAGTTAGAGTTCAAATACAACCTCCTTAGGAAAGTCTTCCATGATTCTCAATTTTAACTTTGGTTTCTCACTTATAATACTGTATTTTCCTAAGGTAGAACCTATGATAAACTGTAATTATATATTAATATGGGCATTATGTTTGAATGTGAATTTCATCAGGGCAGGCACTATGACTTTCATATTTCACATTCACAGTTATAACCCCAGGAGCCAGAGGGGTCCCTGGCATATAGTAGGTGTTCAATACAAATTTGTTAAATGAATAAATGAATAATGGTCTATGGAAATGGAAGCCCAGGTCGGGCATGCATTGTTGAAGAAGTCAAGAGGAGAGAGCGTCCTGAAGAAGGAAAGCAAAATGAGACGGTATAAACAATTCTTTTTTTTTTTTTTTTGAGACAGAGTTTCCCTCTTGTTGCCCAGGCTGTAGCACAGTGGTGCAATCTCTGCTCACTGCAACCTCCACCTCCCCCGTTCAAGCGATTCTTCTGCCTCAGCTTCCCGAGTAGCTGGGATTACAGGCATAAGCTACCATGCCCAGCTAATTTTATATTTTTAGTAGAGAGGGGGTTTCTCCATGTTGGTCAGGCTGGTCTCGCACTCCTGACCTCAGGTGATCCGCCCTCCTTGGCCTCCCAAAGTTTTGGGATGGGATTATAGGTGTGAGCCACCATGCCCAGCAATAATTCTTTTGCAAATTCTCTTTATGTAGAGGATGAGAGAGAGGTGTTTTCAGGAGGCAGAAATGGTGATGAAGGAATTGCATTATTTTTAAGATGTTATTTTAAGGCTCACACAGGTCTAACTGCTAAGGATAAGGGCCCAGCAGAGTATGGGTGTGCACTGGAATCACCTAGAAGTTTGTTAAAATATAGATTTGTTAAAACTTCTAGAATTTCTGATATGATGGTCTAGGGTGGGACTGCTACTGTGCATTTCTAGCAAGCTCCCAGGGAATTCCGACGCTGATGGAGTGGGGACCACACTTTCAGAACCACTGAGATACAGGTTGGAGAAGGTTGGATGAGGAGCTCCAGAGCTCAGGTGAGGAGACTTGGCCCACATAGAAGGAGGAACAGCATCCTCGTGCATAGAAGGGAGGAAATAAAGATGGGCACAGGCACAGGTAAGCTTAAAGATTAGGGAGCTGGAAGTGCCAAAACTGCCTGTCTGATGCATCTTTTTGCCATTATGAGGTAGGAACTGAGGTAACCTAATGAGAATCAGGAAGGAGATTGGAAGGTAGGGTTTGAAGCTAGAGGAGACTAGAGATGTTGGCAGGGTCATTGTGGGGTAGAGAGAGCTGCATGACAGAACCATATAGCATTGCTGATCCATGTTGAGGGCTCAGGTGAGAGCAACCATACATTTATTGTATCAATCTGGTTCTTTTTCTTTTTTTGTGGTGGGGGGGCAGAGTCTTGCTCTGTCACCCAGGTTGGAGTCCAGTGGTGAAATCTTGGCTCACTGCAACCTCCACCACCCATGTTCAAGAAATTCTTCTGACTCAGCTTCCTAAGTAGCTGGAATTACAGATGCCTACCACCACGCACAGCTAATTTTTGTATTTTTAGTAGAAATGGAGTTTCACCATGTTGGTCATGCTGGTCTTGAAATCCTGACCTCAAGTGATCTGACTGCCTCAGCCTCCCAAAGTGTTGGGATTACAGGCGTGAGCCACTGTGCCAAGCCAAAATTTGCTTTACTATGTCACTCTAGCGACTGATCAGAATTATATAAAAATAAGTTTCAAGGACAATCGTATCATTCCACAGGTTGGTATCCTAAAAATATCTCAAATTAACTAAGTGTGACTGCAGCTGTCTAAGGCACACAACCTAGAATGGCCAGAATTGCCTCTAAACAAACCCAGAGAAATTCCTGTGTGTCATCCTTATTACTGAAGATGTTTTATTACATCCTTCACTGCTAGTATGTTTGTGTATGTGTTTATGAATACTAACTTTAAATTTTGCTCATTTACAATAAATTTTTTTTCTAAAAAAAGGTAGCATCATTTTACACTGAGATATTAAAAAAAAAACAAACTCTCACATAAGAAGGATGAGATACAGCAGTACAGACCTTTACTTTATTCCACTCACTCTTCCCTGTCCTATCCACTTGTTGACCTCATGGAAAGAGCTATCAGTGTGCTCAGGTTTCAATCTCTGACATGTCATTTTGAGTTATATTGGCTACTGGGAGCCAAAAGTAATGAGAAAGGAAGAAAACTGGCACCGAACAAATAAACATGCTCTCTGCTGGTTGTAAAGGTCAGGAGAGCTGGAATCTGGCAGGCTGTCAAGTGGAGGAAGCTTCTGAGTCATAGGAGGCTGAACAGATAGATAGTCTGGGAAATGGAAAGCCCAGGGTGCCGCTGAGCCCAGGCTTCCACTGGGAAACTGTCATTGGCTATAAGTGACAGAGATTTTTGGCAGGGTTCTTTTCAGAACCTTAAGGAGAATGTTGTAGGTTTTTTTTTTTTTTTTTAAATTTAAAGTCCCTAGTGTTAGAGTCGTGTGACGTATGTGTAACTTTATTAGTATTGGTTCATTTATTCGATTTTAATAATGACATCTGTTGAGGATACAAAAGGAAAGAGATGAAATGATGTAAATAATATGACAATAATGAAAATAATATGACATCTGGTTCAGGAATTCAAGGTGTGTAGGGATTACATGCCTACACACCTACATGCATACATTTAGATTCAGATAGAGAAGGCTGGTGTTTTGACAGTTATAAAATAATAAAATGCTTTCATGCTGGTTGGTGAATAGCCATTGTTGCCCCAGGCTTCCCTGCACCCCACCCCCCACATTCCAGCAGCTGGGGGTTAATATCAGCAGTGGGTCTCTAGACTTCCCAAGCCCCACACTAGGGTCTGCACTGTGATTGATCAATAGCGCATACCATATTGGTGGTTAAATGTGTTATTATCCCTGTATATAGATGTGTATTGCATAGAATTATCTCCATATTATTAAATGCTTGAGGAAGAATTATCTGCACCAGGGTCACCTGGGGCACTTTTCAAAAATGCAGATGCTTGGGTTTTACATACTGGACCCACTGCATCTCTGGAAGATGGGCCAGGATATGCATTGAAACTATCCCCCAGGTGATTCTAGGGCATTGTCTCAAATATAGTCAGCATATTCTGGCATTCAGCAAATCTCTCTATCCTGTCTTAATGCCAAGTTCCTTAAAGGGAGGATCCTAAGTCCTAAAACTCTTGGCATTCACCACTATGCCTAGCTTAGTGCTTGTTGACCGACAACGAAGAGGAGAAATCATCTATTCAGAAGTGTATGCTGAAAAGATAAATTGGGTTTGATGCTGCTGCTGTTGTTGCTGCTCCTGCTGCTGGCTGCAATGGTTAGCCTTTGTGAGTGGTTTACTGTGTGTCGGACATTATGAAAAGTGCCTTGAATGCCTCATCTAATTGAATTGCACAGTAATCCTAATAGTTACTGCTATTATCTACATTTTATGGCTGAAGAAACTGAGACTTAGATGGAGAGAGCATCCCAAAATTTCATTGTTGAAAGGAAGTAAGATTTCATTCTTGGCCTGATTATTTCAAAGGTTATACTCTTTCTTATTTACTAAACTAGACTGGCTCTTGGATTAAAAAGCAATTCTACAGATACTTCATAAGTCAGACTCTTGGCAGTTAATCTCATCAATTTGGCTTTGCTTCAAATTTATTTGTTGCATTTTATATATGCAGAGGAGAGGCGGGATGGGAAATGAAAAGACTGTAAAAGCTGTGCTTTCTGACTCACAGAAACCAAGGGGAAGGAAATTGCATATAGAAAGTAGGAGGTATACATAAATATTCCCCAATACTTGGGAACAATTGGAAACCTTTTAGCTAAATAAAAATAAAATATTAAAGCACTAACTGAAAAAAAGTTAGAAAACTGCCGCTGTCATCGAACCTTGAAAATCAAGTTAAGAAAAAACAAATGAGATTATAGCCAGGAGGTAAGTAGTAAGGAAAGCAAGTCAGGAATCCACTGTCAAGAAATAATGAGGGCAATTACAATTTTAGAAAGATCATCAAGGGGCCAGCTGATGCCTGGACTTGACAATGGGCAAGACAAACAGCCTGGATGTGGGGAAATTAAGGCAGCTCATGAGAGGTAGGGGATTGAAAAGGTGACTGGTCTTTATATGCAATCAGGTTTGCTTTGAAGTATCCAGCCAGGAAGCTGGGATCAATGTGATCGCAGAGTATTATAATTTGGTTAAAACATCATAATGCACTGAGCTTAATGAAGAATGTCTAATTAACATCTCTTCAATGTATGGAAAAAATAATATAGATTAGAATCATCTTTCCAAGGCAAAAACAAACCCCAAATCACAATCTATATTAATAGCATCAGGGTGCTTCTTCAGACTTCAATATATCAGTCCCAGTGCTTTTGTTTAGATACAGATAACTTTCTAATCATCTTTGATTTATTCATGACATATATAGAAGACAAAATTTATTCTTACTGGGATCAGGGCAAAATCCCCACTTTTCATCTCTTTCATAACGGCTTGTCGTGGCACACCACAGTAAGTCATCTTCTCGACCTTCACGGATACATTCATGATGCCACTGGTGGTTATACTGGAAGGGAAACATACATGGCATCCCGTGGGTGTTCCCTTTGATTGTATGCAAATCTAGGAGAAAGAAATGTGCAAAGTCAGATAAGTATGATGTCAGCTTTATCTCTGGAAACTGCTATATATCTAAAGCATTTTTTTTATGGACTGAAACCCCTTGTAGGGGCAGATACTCACTACAGCAGAGTGAGCCCTCAGGTCCTCACTGTATCCTGTCAGTAGAAGTGCTAGACCCAGTGCTCGGCTCAGAAGAAGTGCTGATACATGGCTTGCTTACACATTTATCTACTTGTTTACTTGTTCACTTACTATGGAGAGCTGCCACAGTAACATTCATATTTGCGGATGGATGAGAAGAAAACTTTAATGGAGATTTACCTTCATAGTACCTTCCAGTCCCCAAATGCATCAGCCATTAGCATCTAAAGCTCAATAGATACATAGGCATTTATTAATTTATTCATTCAATAAATATTTATTGAGCATTTAAAGTACTCAGTACTAGGGATGCAACAGTGAACAAATCAGCAAGAGTTCCTTCAAGTGGAACTACTATTCTAGCAAGGAGAGAGATATACAAATAAACACACAGTATCATTGCAGGTAGTAATAAGTGCCATGATGAAAAATAAATAGGACGAGAAGACAGAGTGCGGGGGGTGTTTGTGTGTGTGTGTGCGTGTGTGACAGACAGAGGGAGAGAGAGAGAGAGAGAAAGGAAGAGAGAGAGGAAGAGACAGAGAGAAGAAGAGAGAGAGAGGGAGAGATGGGGTGGATGGGCACAGGGCACTACTCTGGACAGGATGGACAGAAAAATACCTCTCTGAATAAGAACTGGGTGACCTGAGAGTGCAGGTCTTTAGAAAAGAGTTGATCCAGCAGAGCAAACAGCAAGTATAAAGTGCTTGAGACAAGAACAGGTGTGCGGTGAATGAAGAAGAGGAAGGAGGCCCTCTGGGAAGGGAAATCACAGACGTACTGGAGTGTCAGTGCACATAGGGCTATCTCCCTGCCACACTGTGGGCTTTGCCCTCTACCCTGAGGGTGGGGGCAAGTCTTGTGCAGGTTTTGAATGGGAAAGTGACAGGATCAGATGTCTATTTTAGAAGAATCACTGGGGGTTCAAAGGGGCAAACAGCCTATACGGGGAGAGGGTGAAATAAGACAGCTGGCTGGGTGGCTTCTACAGTGGTCTAGAGTGAGATGACCCTGCAGATGCGGCCTGCTGGCTGCTTTCTCAGGATATTGCAATACTTGGCCATTCTTGGCCTTAATCAGGAATAAACAAAAACTTTTTATGACTCAACTGTGGCTGTCAATGGTAGGTCCTGGGGCAAAAGGACCAGCTGTGGAGAGCCCCACAATTGGCAGGGGCTGAACTGACATGTCATCAGGCACCAGCCTTAGCCGTCAGGGCTCTTTAGGAACTGTGGGTATTTCAGGATGTGTCCTCTTCTTTCAATCTCCTTCCTTCTCAGAAGGCTATGTTCCCTAGGCTTTGCCTGCATGCACCATGAGTGTGGGTATGTGGCTAAAAAGTTAACGTAAAGCAAAATATCCAGTTTCTCTTCAGAGCTGTAGATTATTCAGAGTGCTTGCTTTATGTTAGTGAGTCCTGAAAATGCCGGGCCTTTGGCTCTGTCTCTTTTTTTATCTTTTCTTCTTTAGGAGTTCCTTGCTCTGCTTCCCAGGACTGTACAGAATTCTTAGGAGGATATGCTCTTGTGAAAGCATAATTCTACAGAGCACCACGAGGGGAAGGACTCCACCTGTCCTATAGGTCTTTGTAAATCAGGTGCCTAGCCCAGTGCCTGATGAATGTGTGACGGATTTGTCAACAGTGCTAAATAAAAAACGTGGAATGAATGGATGGATGGATGGATGAATGGATGTGTGGGTGGATGGATGGATGGATAGATGGATAGATGGATGGATGGATAGAGTGAACTGCCAAACAAACCCTGAGGGACAGGTTTGAGATTTTAGAATTTAACCACGTAACTTTATTTATTTATTTTTTCTGTTTAGAAATGATAAAAATAACCATAGAAAATGAAATTCCTTTCTAAACCATGCTTCCCCACCAACCATGCTTGGCATCTGCCAAATAACCCCTGACAACAGTCTGTCATTTATCTTCAAGTGACTTGCAACATGACTACCACATGAATGGCAGCCAGCGTGAGGAAGCACTGGAGGTGACTCGGACACATACCTCCATAGGTGGGGATGGGTTTTTACAACAAGAGAAATGGTGGCAGGGAAGGAGCAGTTATTATATTTGTCATGACAAAAGTCCTCACTTCGAAGATCTTTTCCTTCCACCTTCCTTTTCTCTCTCCTCCTGTCTGCTTGTTCTTTCTCCTCCTTTCCACTGCTTCCCAGAGTCAGTTAAAAGTTTTTCCTCCCAATACCTTTAAACTCTGAAAAGTTCTGCTTCTTTAGCAGAATTTAGTATGTCCATTCTGAGACTCTCATAACCCTTTTACCATAAGCAAGGAAACAACTAAAATGTATTTAGCAGAAGTCCCGTGAGGGTCCAGGCCTTATGTACTTCTTTCACATAATGCTTTACAAATCTTTATTTATAAGCAAATTAAAAAATATATCATTCCCTGAGTACTTATTTAAATTATTTTTACCTTTGTGTAGATATTTGCAAATGTCTCCACCACCTGACACATAAGAAATCCACTTATGAAAATTCTTCCGTGAGGCCACCACAGTGTTATCATGCGCCACCTGGACAGAGTATTGCAGCGGGCCCGTGATCATCTTCCTGTTACAGTGCCACCTCAAGGAAACGAGGGTGGAGTCACATTCATATAAGCTCAACGGCTGCTCTGGGGCGGAGAAATTCAGGCCCAGGCAACCGCTGCCTCCTATGTTAAAGAGGCCATGGTTTGAAACCCATTTCCACAGCATGTGCTTGTTTGCTTGCTTGCAGTTCTCCAGGGTCAGTACCGATTTCCCTGCTTGGATGCATTTCTCGAGACTCTCGCTTTGGATAACAAATATCCCTTTATCTGAAACAAAAATTAAAGATGTGGCAGGAAACTTTCAAATAGCATTAACTAGCGTCCTGAGGATCTCAGTGTGCATATCTAAGTGCGAGATGCCACAGTTGCCAGCCATTTCCCACAGGTCTGAGCAGGTCCACCTGAAGGGCTTTATTTTTATAAAACAGAGGAGTTTCTTGGGAAGCATGAAAGGGCTTGCTGGAGTTAATGGCAGAGCTCTGATCTAAGACCTCATTGGCCATATAGGAACAAGGGTTACCTGTCAATCCACTCAGGTCTGTTACTGACAGAGAAGGTGCGCTTGTACAATTGGTTAGAGAGGAAAATTGGTAATAACACTCAGGGCTCCTGGGGAGGGACACTGCATGCCAATGGATATGACAACACTGGCTTTCTCAGACAAGTGCTTGAATGTTAGGAACACAGCTGCTAAATCAAGAGCCACTGAATGAAAATCTCTACCATCAAGTTCCTGCAGAAAATCAAAAGGCTATCAGTGAAATGCTGCTTTGTGATCTGATACAGGATTTAATGCTGGTCAGAAAACAATGTTTCTCAGGAGTACAAGGGTGGAGGGGGGGACCTCTTGAAAGACTCTTAGCAGGAGATGGTTTGCTGGGTGGGGCTGGCAGAAGCAGGTAGATGCCTAGGGCACTAGCTATGGCACAATACTTCGAAACATGAGAGGTGATGGAGCACCATTACAGTAGCAGAAACCAGAGGCCACGTGGATGGACAGAGATAGCAGGAATTTTGTGACATGCCCCTGAGCTCTCCTCCCTGAAGCAGGAAGAAGGAATTTGGATGAGTTTCCTGTGGAAAAGCCGGTGGGACCCAGGTGGGGAATACATGTTAGCTGTCAACTTGCTACCTGACTTTACCCTAGTTGCTGGCCTGATTTTACCCAACCTGCTACCTGACTTTATCCAAGTTGCTGGCTTGGGAAGCACCTAGTACTCAGCAGTTATGAATGTGTTTTCTCAGAGGCTTTTTGAAGATGGCAACTGAGTCTCATTTCTTTGGTCTAAGCATGGATGTGGTGGGCACATGGTGGAAATTCAGTCAGTGCTTGCTGTTGAAACATACTCGCTGCTTTGGCCTCTGGCTGCTGAGGTCACCTCGGTTCATGCCTGGTCAGGCCCAGGTGCTCTTTGGTTCTCCATGAGCTAGGCTTCCCTCTTCTATTTTATTTCCTGTCTATTCTTCAGAACTCTGAAGGGACATGATAGGGTTCCCTTGAATGCCTGGGGTTTAGGGCAGGTCGTGTCATGGAGGGCAGAATGGGAAGGGGCAGAGGCCTTGTAGAGGTTTGGGACAGCAGGACGGGACTCTTCATGGATCCCTGATGGAACAATGCTTCATTCTGGTAAACATTTTTGGTTTCTCCAAAGTTAGCCTGAAGAGAACTGATTTACAGTAACCAAAATCACTTAAGATACTGTTACAAAAATATTGTCCATGTGTTAGTAAACGCTATACCTCATTTAAGAATTGGTGACCTTACTTATAGCCACAGATTTGAGGAGTTGAATTAGTTATCAGAGAATTGCTTTGATCACTGTACATCAGAGCAAAAGAGAGGGGGTGGGGTGAGGAAAGTAAATGGTTTTAGGGAGATTTCATTTAGATCAGGAAATTTGTTTTCCTAATGAAGGCCTTGTCTTCATGGTTATTAGTAATAGTCATTCAAAGTCAAATCCACCTCTCATCAATGCAATATGGAGTCTGATAATTCACTTTCTGTCCAACTCTCCTTTTCATTTTTTCACTCCTGGGTTGAATGTTCACCTTAATTTCTGTTGTAACCTACTAATTACTTTCTAGCTAAACTAGAGTTCCATTAAATTTTCATTAAAGGATTATTTTACTATAATGAGTTTGTAGTTCAGCTTCTACCTAATATATATGCTCAAATAGATTGTAAGCTCTGCAACTTATTGACTGTGCCTCAGTTTATACACCTCAGATATGTGTGTAGATGACATAGCTAGTGGTTGAGAGCTCTAGAGTCACATAGAGCCATCACAGACCCACTGTGTAACTTTGGGCAGATTGCTCCATCTCTGTGAGCCTCATCTTTCCTCTTTAAACTGGGAATATGTATGGTACTGACCTCTTATGGATGTTAAAAATATTCCACTGAATAACCCATGCAAAGCACACCACAGATCACCACGAAAAGCCTCAGGAAATGGGAGATGTCATTATTACTTTATCCCTCTGACTTTCTGATTCTTGATCTATAGATCCAGCTGTAAATCTGGCTGAACCTACCGAGTGCTAATCTCAGTATCCCTCAAAGGCTTCTCCTCTTACACTGTTAGCACAAAAGCTTATTTCTACTTCATCTTCTGCAGCACACAGTAGATGCAAACATTTAAGTTTTAAACAACCCTGAGACACCACGCTATCACCTTTTATGGAGGAAAAATACTCTCCCAACAGCCAGATAACAAAACATTTGCCTCCTTTGTTCAAACACATGTGCAATTTTGAATTAAGAGCCTTCACCTGTTGATTTTCTGCATTACCTACCTGTAAAGTCTACACTGTAGGTTTTTTAACAGGAAAGAGAAAAATACATGGTGTTGACAAGCAATGTGTAGATCGGGGGATGGGTGGTCTGTGAATTAGTGGACATGAAAATTACACAGCTAACATTTGGGGTGAATAAATATTGTGTGGGGTGGGGGGATCTGAAACCGGGTCTTGCTCTGTCACTCAAGCTGGAGTGCAGTGGCACTATCATGGCTCACTGAGGCCTCAACTTCCCAGGCTCAATTGATCCTCTTACCTCAGCTTCCTGAGTAGCTGGGATTACAAATGTGTACCGCCATGTGTGGCTAAATTTTTTTTTTTTTTGATAGAGACAGGATCTCAATATATTTCCCAGGATGGTCTCAAACTCCTGAGCTCAAGCAGTCCTCCCACCTTGGTCTTCTAAAGTGCTGGGACTACAGGTGAGAGCCGCCATGCCTGATCAATAATGCTTTTAAACTTCCAAATTAATCAGAAAAAGTGTTCAGAGAAAAAGAGTGGCAGAAATTGGAACTCCTGTAGTCACACCAGCAATCACAAAAGTACCTTTCCAAAGCAGAACATATTAGACACCCCTAATCCACTGCTGCCTAATTTTGGGGTGCTACTTACATTTCCATGCCAGCTGCCTTTAGGAAATAGCTTTAGAAAAGTTCTTCAGAATGTGCCATAGGCAAGTAGCTCTGGTTCACCAATAATAATCAACATGTTACCTCCAAATATACTAAGTTAAAAAATGACTTGAGCCCATTTTTCCATTAAGTTATAACAGAATATGATCCTAGCACTGTTAATCTCCATAAATTCACTGAAGAGAAAATGATTACTTTCAAATAGACTGTGAGGAGACTTAATATAGGTATCAATATTCTGATTGTTATTATATACACATAATGTCTCTAACAAAACTATAATGTGAAATTAAGCCACCAATCCTTAGTGTGTTTAGTGGCTGGATTTTTTAAAAGATGGAAATCAAATGTGGGAGGAATCAAGATTGATTATACATGTCAAGGACATCAGTTCTGCTTGAACACTGATTAAGTGATTAATGAAGTACTGCCAGAATTACTAAATCTCATTTCAGGAAAATGTTATTATACTTCCCTTCATAATTATAAGTTTAGGAGGAAAAATGGGATTGATTTATTAGAAGTAACTTATAAGCTAATTTTTAAACTTTTTTTTTTTTTAATAAGATTCATGGAAGACAGTGGTTCTACTTTCCATTTCTGAGTTCCCTGAGGAGACCATTTCAGATCCACTCTTTGGCCCCATAAGATAACGTGTGCTCTTCTAAGGAGTGGGAGGAGAATGTTTCATTGATCAACTGTTAAACTGAAATTTAGGGTATTACCTTTATGACTACACATGGAACATTCATTCATTCAACTAGCTTTCATTGGATGCCAGCTACTTCACAGACACTGAGTAAGATACTAGAGATAGAGAGAAATTATTTGTCTAAATATCTGTCCTTTGAAACTGTATATATTTGTTCTGGAATCATGGGAATTTGCATAGCTAATGAAAAGAGTTCATAAGTTCCAAAGAAAACATTATAATTGCATTTAAAATAAGCCCTTAATGGTGGGACGAGGTGGCTCACGCATGTAATTCCAGCACTTTGGGAGGCTGAGGCAGGCAAATCACTTGAGGTCTCTACTAAAATACAAAACTTAGCCAGGTGTGGTGGTGCATGCCATATTTCCAGCTACTCGGGAAGCTGAGACACAAGAATCACTTGAACCCAGAAGCGGAGACTGCAGTGAGCTAGGATTGTGCCACTGTATTCCAGCCTGGGAGACAGAGTGAGACAGTGTCTCAAAACAAACAACAGCAACAACAAAAACAAAATAAGCCCTTAAAAACAAGTGATACCACTTATAAGTGGGAGTCGAACAATGAGAACACATGGGCACAGGGAGGGGAACAACACACACTGAGGCCTGTAGCAGGGGCAGGGAAGGGAAAGAATCAGGACAAAGAGCTAATGCATGAAGACGATGGGATGATAGGTGCAGCAACCCACCATGGCACACATTTCCCTATGCAATAAACCCGCACATCCTTCACATGTATTCCAGAACTTAAAATAAAATAAACAATTATTTAAAAAGCTTTAAAAACCAAGTGATAACAAATCAGAGAAAGAAAATAAACCAAAATTTAAGACACTGAACTGGCTCTTCAACTGATGTCACATGTGAGGTGGACAGGACCCCTCAGCGTCCCCAGACTCTGACCAGGAAGTGTGCACACACACATACTTGACTACTTTCAAGGGAGGACGAAGCAGGGCAGCGCTGGAAGGATGATGGGTGTGGCAGAGGAGACTCACTTCATCTATAAGCCCAGAATCATGAACTTCAGGGCTGGATGGAACTGTAAAGATTATTTAATTGAGCCATTCTTTTACTTTTTTTTTCCAAATCCATTTTTGTCTTAGAAATTTTATATCTACCTAC